AGAAAACTAGATCCACCTAAAAAGCAGTTGTATCTAGTCGTGCTCTCTGCCTGCAAACTGTCTGCAAATGTATTTTGTGAGAAGATTTGGGGCTTGTAGACTGGACACATTATAAACCTAATAAAACCAGATGGCAAACGTTTGTACCAGTTGAGTACTGCCATTTTCTACTTCTTATGTTCCTCACTCCAACCCCCTTATTTTGTCTCCCTTCTGTCACTCCGAACCACAGTTCAACATAAGTGAAAACAGGCAAACAGCTGTCCAAAGTCGAATGGTGGAGTCCTCTTAGCACAGGTCCCGTTGTCTTGGGCAACCTCCCGCTCCAGCAGCTGGTGTCAGAGCTTCCTGAAGGTGCAGCTTGCCAAAGGCTAGTACTGACAGTGCTGCTCCCTTACATCTCTGCTTTTGCATGTCTCTACTGTAAATATTCCCATCAAGGCTTCTGCACTGCTGCTGAGAAGAACCTTGTCCTTTAGTCCAGTTTTTCCCAGTTGAAATTAATTTCCATCTCTTCGCCTGGCCCCTACCTTTACCTCTTTATGCTCTTCATGTTCTTGCAGTCCTCTCTTTCACCTGCAGCCGTCAATGGTGGGATCTGGGATTCATTTCTTCTCCCAGGAAGCTAAGTGAATTTCCTCACCAGAGGGCTATTGGGCCTAGGGCCCTTAAATGACAAGTTAGCCAGCAGCAATAGACTTTGTGAAACCCAGAAGATTAATGATCCAGCAGCCTTTACTGTTAGCTGACTGTGAAGCCAGTCAAGTCTCAGTATTCTTCAGCTGCTATTTATTTTTAAAAGAATTATAGCAGTGTACCAGCTCAGCTAAGATGGTGAATTGCTGTCTATTTAAAAGGTCAGCTACACTAAGATCTTGAAAATCGACATGGTCATTCAGATTGTCTCAACATTTGCTGTTTCTCTGGGGACAGAGCATAAGGCAGTTATCAAGATTCGGGCACTCTGAAGCTTGCGGCATGCCCAAAACCTCTGGCTGCCACCTCCCAGGTCCTCTGGCTTTGTGTGCATGGTGGAGCCTAAAACAGTTGTTTGCTTCTCCTCAAGTGTATCTGAGTTACTGGGGATTCACCTAGTGTCTGGCGTCCTTTGGCAGAGGCAGCACAGTGTTAAACGTAACTAAGGATGAAATTTGTAACACCAAATCAGGATGAGAAAGAGAGTGGACTGGGAGACTAAAGTGGATGTAAGCTGGAAAATTAAGTCAACATAAGGATTTGTTGGCTGCATTTTGCTGCAGACCTGGCCAACTTACTGTAATCACAAAATCTCAGCTGCATTTGTGCTTTGCAAATTTAAATCTTACACTGACAACTTTCTGTTAACGTTGTAGTGAACTGCCCCAACTGAGACCAGTGCTTCCGGGTTGAGAGCAATACTCCCAACATACTCTACAAACCATGGGCTCACTCTGGTTGCATGTTAGGAATGGGAACTGAAAGGAATGAATGAAAGGAAATGGGCACTGTTAGTAAAACCACACCCAAACTGCATATATTTGTTGTGGCCTGTGTCTTTCTCATTGATCATGACACAAACATCTCAGAAGCAGTAGCCCAGTATTATTCAGTGCTTTGTGACTCAGTAAAGAAAGAAATCACTCCAACCATGGCTATGTACAGCTTTTCCAACTAGTTCCACTCTACTTTCCATTTCTGCTCCTAGGAGTTTTTCTTTTAATGTGACAAATAAGTAGAAGGCAGGAGGTGTGGTGGTTGAAATTCTGTTTCATGTCTTTCTCTTGTCTAAGTAGGCCAACTGACATCATGACTATTTCTTTCATCAATTGAGAAACCTCCTGTCCTACAATAGTGACAAATAAAAGGAAACATCTTTTCTCCATTGCTCTGTTTCTCACAAGGGTAGATAAAAGAAATAGTATTCATTTTAATGCATTCCTCAATCTAAGCAGGGACTTCAAAGAGACCGCAACTGTTACTGATATAAAAATCAGATAACAGAGTTAATCAGATAGAACTTGCAACTGCTGCAACATTATACTGAAGTTGGGAGAGGACTGTAAAATAGTAAATGTTTGCCCCAAATGCAAAGCACTCGTCAGCCTGGTTACCACAGCTCTTTCTCTCCTAATTATGATCATAGCTTTTTTATCTTTCTCCTCATGTGAACTGTAATAATAGCAAAAAACAAAGGGACAGCTAAATCCCAGAAGGGAAGCCACTGATTCCAGCCATCCAGAGGAGGAGACATGATTGATAATGTTTTTTTGCTGATGAAGGCAATACAATTCTGTTTCCAATGAAGAACAGAAAACTGAATGAGAGCTGGCATATACCCAGTGCTCTCTGAACAGCTTGCTGCAAGACAAATTATGCAAGAACAACTGACCACCTGAAGGGAAAATAATTTGTGGCTTGAGGACAGCCATTACTCTCAGTTTAGCTGGTAATACATGTCTTGGCTTATTAGCTCTATCTACACTTAAAAAAGGAAAAAGAGACTTTCCTGGAGCTCTGCACAAACAAGAGAGTTGCCCTCTGGAACAAGTTATGAAATTGATATAAAAAAATACAACTTCTTTTTCTTTCCTTTTGAGCAGTGCTGTACTTTAAGGTTTGAGTTATGTTAATGTTTGTGTAATGGTCAGCTTTCATATGAGTAATTCATATTAACATGGGATCACACGTTGCAATGTGTGGGAAAAATATTGTGCTTTTTTTTTTTTGTCTTTGATATTTCACTGTTTTTACAGTCATTGCAGTCTGTGACCTTAATTGCCTACACTTCAATTATGCTCTGGGGGAAAAGGACTTCATTTTCTTTTAGTACAGCTATTACTTGTAAATTTAACTGGATGTCTCCCAAATTGTATGTTCATCAAAACAGTTAATTAGCTGTTCATCTTTTTTGTTGTCATTCATGTTCCACTTTTTCCCCTAGCCCTTTGTTTTTTAGGCTCAAGGAATCCTAATCTATTTATCTTTTCCTCCCCCAGGAGCTGTTCTGCAACACTGACCAGCCAAGGCACCCTTCACTGTACCTCTTCAAGTTCTGCAATAGCCCTCTGAAATGAAGATTTATTTTCTGATATTTTTGAGATTAGATCAGATTAGGTTTTGTAATTAGATGAAGCTGTGCAAAAGATCTATATGGTGGCAGAACGGTATTTGCTGCTCTGTTCTTGATTTAACCTCTAATACTTCTTAATGCTCTGTTTTCCTTTTTGACTGCTGTTAAGTATTGATCTTGTGTTTACATATAACTGCCCCAAGTGGCTCTAAGGTTCTTCTTGAGAGATAATGGCTAAGTTAAATCTTATAACTGGATAGGTGTATCATTAAGTCTGCCCTTTTCCCATGCACAGTACTTGGCATTTATTGATGCAGAATTTTGCCCATCATTTTATTACTGCTAAACCCACTTGAGATAGTGATGCCATTCTTCAACTCTTCTCAGTTACTTTCTGCTCTGATTCTCCCGAAGATATTTTATTATCAGTAAACTTCATTATTCAGCCTTGTTTTTGCATTTCCTCTTCCACATCATAGGAATATGTTAAACAGCAAAAATTCGGCACAGATCTTTGTTTGATTGCTGGGATGGTCTCCTTCCTTCTGAAAAAAACACCTTATTCCCTACCCTTGGTTTCCTAGCTTCTACATTGTTACCATATATGAGAGGATTTTCCTTTTCATCTTTTTCTTAGTGTTTTGTGGGGACTCTGACAAGGTTTTGTCCTGGTTTTAGCTGGGACAGAGTCATCTCTTCTTTTTAGCAGCTAGAAGAGCTCCGTGTTTTGGTTTTACTTAGAGGCTCGCTCTGAGAAGAATGTTGATAGCAAGCTGGTGTTTGTGGTTGGAAGTGAGACTCCAAGGACTTTTCAGTATGCCGGAGTGCAGAAGCACGGCGGGATAAGGGGGGAGCATAGCTGGGACAAGGGGGCCACGATTCCCCTTGTGATTTGTGGTGGAACTTAAGATTGAGGGCCAAACTGGCCAATTAGTATTTCATATCATGCAGCGTCATGCCCAGTATAAAAGTGAGGGACAGATGGAAAGAAGGGCTTTTTGCACTTTTGCTCTTTCACCACTTTTTGCTCTTTTGCACTTCTGCGCTTTTGCTCTATTGCCTTTTTTTTTCTCTCTCTTCCAGTACTCCCACTCTCGGAGTACTATCTCTCTCTCCCTCTCTATTTTGGGGCCTCGTGTTCGTCCGGGATTGCAGCTTCAGGACGAGACAGGCTGCGGATAAGAGAGGGTGGTGAGCATCTACACTATTACTCATCTGTATTAAATTGTTCTTATCTCAACCCACGGGTTTCCCATTTCTCCTTTAATTCTCTCCCTCATCCCTGGGGCTGGGGGAGGGTGAGTGAGCGACTGTGTAGGGTTTGGTTGCCGGAGCAGCCTAATCCACAACAGGTTCTTGTAAACTTATTATGTGAAATCACACCCCCCCCACCCCCCCACCTTTTGCATATTTGTGGATTCCCTCTGGGAACTCTAGTAGAACTGCAAGACATTAGCTTCTTTCACAAAACCCTGTTAATTCTTCCTTAGTGTCATTTAATTTTTTCATTAAGGACGGATGAAGCATTTCAATTATAGAGCATTAAATTTGTAGATGACATCAAGCTGTGAGAGATGGCAGATTTGTAGAATCAGATTAGAATTTAAAGTCATCTCAAAAGTTAAAATAGTCTGTGCAATTTTAGAAACAGATTACGAACACATTTAAAGCATCAAATCAGGCAAGATGAAACCACTCAGCAAAGAATAGGGAAACTCTAGTCAACAACACTTTAGAGAAAAAAAAACTGTAAACTGCAGTGGGTCTCAGACTAAGCCAAGGTCAACCTGACCACGTGTTGTGAAAACAAAAACCACCACATGAGAAATCACAGTAGCATTACAAATTCACCTGCTTCGTATAAGACTGATGATGCACTGTTTGAATACAGCAGGAGGAAAAGGAGGAGGAGGAGGAAAAGGAAGAGCTGGAGGAGCTGGAGAAGGAACAGGAAGAAAAAGAGAAGGAAGAGGCGGAGCAACAGAAGAAGATATAGCATGAGAAGAAATATGAACAGTAAGAAAAGGAGAAGGAGCAAAAGGACGTGCAGAAAGAGAAAAAAACAGGATAAACAGTAGAAGCAGGAACAGAAGGAGGAAGAGAAACAGGAGAAAAATTAGAAAAAAAAAGGTTGAACAGGAGGAATAGCAGAAGTAAGAAAAGGAGGAGGAGAAATAACAAGAGGAGGAAGAGGAGAAACAGGAGGATGAGGTTGAACATACCCAGGAACAGGATGAGGAGGAGAGATAGGAGGAACAGAACAAGGGAAAGAAGGAGGAGAAGAAATATGAGGATAAGGAGAAAAAGAATAAGGAGGAAGAGGAGGAGGAAGACCACAATGAAACAGGAATAGCAAGAGTAACAGAAGAAACAGAAGGAGGAGAAGGAAAAGGAGGAGGAGAAGAATGAAGAACAGAATGAGGAGGAAGAGAAGAAGGGTGAGGAGAAACAGGAGGAAAAGGAGGAGGCAGAAGAGAAAACAGGAGGAGGAAGAGAGGGAAGAGGGGCAACAGGAGAATGAGGAATGTAAAGAGAAAAAGCAGGAGGAACAGAGGGAAGAAAAGGAGGACAAACAAGAGGAGGAGGAACAGGAAGAGAAGGAAGAGGGAGAGGAGGAGGATAAGGAAATACAGGAAGACAAGAAACAGGAGGAGGCAGAGGAGCAAGAATATGAGAAGCAACAGCAGGAACAGAAGGAGGAAAAAAAGAAGAGTAGGAGAGGAAGGGAAGAAGAAGGAACAGGAGGGACGAAGGAAAAGGAGGAACAGAAAGAAGGGAAGAGGAGGCAGAGGAGGAACAGGTTAAATAGAAGGAAGGAGGAGGAAGAGCCAGAAGAACAAGAGAAAAAGGAATAGGAGGAAAAGAAGGAACAGGAGGAAGAATGGGAAAAATAGGAAGAAGAGGGGAAGGAAGAGGATGAGGAAAAGATCGAGAAGGTAAACAAAGAGGAGAAAGCAGAGGAGAAGGAAGAAACAGGAGAAACAGGAGGAGAAGGAACAGAAGAAGGAGGAACAGGATGAGGAGGAACTGGAGAAACAAGAAAAGCAGGAGGAGGGGGAGGAAAAGAGGAGGAGCAGCAGGAACAGAAAGAACAGGGTAAGAGAGAGGAAGAGAAAGAGGAACAGGAGGAAGAACCAGAACAGATAAGGGAGTAGGAAGACTACTGAAGAGTAGGAGGATGAAGGAAAGAAGAAATAGTGGAAAGAGGAACAGGAGAAGGAGGAACAAGAAGACAATGGACAGAGGAAGGAGTTTCAACAGGAGGAAGAGGAGGATGAGAACCAGAAGGAGGAAGGGGAGGAGGAGGAAGATGAGGATCATGATGAGAAGGAGGACCAGGTGGAAAGTCAGGAATAGGAGGGGGAAGAAGAAAAGGAGGAAGAGAAGGAGAAAGATAAAGAAGAGGAAAAGAATGAAGTGAAGGATGTGGAGTAACAGGAGAAAGATGAAAAGGAGGAAGAGGAGGAGGAAGAAGAGGAGGAAAAGCAGTAAGAGGAGGAAGAGGAGAAGAAATGGGAGGAGGATGACCATGAGGAGAAGGAGGAGGAAGAGGTTGAATAGGAAAAGGATGTGGATGAGGGACAGGAGGAAAAGGAGGAAGAAGTGAAGGAACGACAACGTGACAATGAGAAACAATAGAAGAGGAAGGATAAGGAGGAGGAACACGAGGAAAAGAACAAGGAGTAACATGAGGAAGAACAACATGAGGAGGAACACAAGAAAAGACAGGAATAAAAGGAGGATAATGGAAAACAGGAGAAAGGAGGAGGAGCAGAAGGAGAATGAAGAGGAAGAGAAGAAGGAGCTGGAAAAAGAAGAGGATTAGAAAGAGGAGCACATGGACAAAAAGTTGAGAATGAGCAGGAGGAAGAGGGATAGGAGCAAGAACAGGGACAGGAGCAAGAAGAGGAACAGGAGCAAGAAGAGGAACAGGAAGAAGAGGAGGAAGAGGAAGTGGAGCAGAAGAAGAAGGAGGAACATGAAGAGAAGAAACAGGAGGATGAGGAGCAGAAATATTTCCTCATTTCCTCCGTTCCTTCTCTTCTTCTTCCTCTTGTTTCTCCTTTTCTTTTTCCTCATTATCCTCTCCCTCATGTTTCTGATGTTCCTTGTGCTCCTACTCTCTCTCTTCCTCTTCTTCCTCCTTCTACTCCTACTGCTGTTCCTCTGGTTTCTCTTCCTCATGTTCTTTTCTGTCCTGTTCCTCATCTCTCTCCTCTTGCTCTTCCTCCTGCTCCTGCTTCTCCTCCCGTTCCTCTTTCTCTTGTTCACCCTCCTGCTGTTTCTAGTCCTCATGTTCCTTTTTTTTCATTCTCCTTTCACTGTCCTTCCTTTTTCTCCTTCTATTCCTCATCCTCTTCTTGTTCCCTCTGGTACTACCATTCCACCTGTCTTTTTCTTCCTCTTTCTCCTGTTCCTCCTCTTCTTCCTTATTCTGTTCTTCCTCTTCTTCCTTCTGTTCCTCCTCCTTCTGTTCCTGCTGTTCTTCATCTTCCTGTCCTTCTCATTTCTTCTCCCATTCTTTCTTTTCTTCCTATTCCTTCTGTTCTGCCTCCTTGTCCTCCTTCTGTTCCTCCTCTTGTTTCTTCTCATCTACCTCATCCTCTTCTTGTTTCTCTTCATCCTCCTCTTGTTCCTCATCATCCTCTTGTTCTTCCTGTTTTTCCTCCTTTTCCTCCTCATCCTCCTCTTGTCCTCCTCTTGTCCTTCTCTTGACCTCCTCCTGTTCCTCCTCGTCCACTTCATTGTCCTCTTGTTCTTTCTCTTGTTCATCCTCTTGTCTTCTTCTAGTCGTCCTCCTTGTACCTCCTCCTCATCCTACTCTTGTTGTTCTTCTTTCTCTTTCTTGTGTTCTTCCTATTCCTTCTTTGTCTATTCCTTCTGTTCCTCCTCTTCTTGTTCCATATCCTCCTGTTCCTCCTCCTATTCCCTCATTCCCCCTTTTTCTCCTAGTCTTTCTCCTTCTCCTCCTTCTCCTCTGGTACCTTCTCTTTCTCCTTCTCTTCTTCCTACTGCTCTTGCTCCTCTTCCTTACTATTTTCATTCTCCCCTTCCTCTCTTCCTTCTCCAGCTCCTCTTCCTGTTCCTTCTTCCGTTCCTCCTCCTCCTGTTCTTGTTCCTCCTTCTTTTCCTCATTCTCCTCATCCTCTTCCTCTTCTTCTTCCTAGTCCTCTTTTTCTCCTTCTCCTTGTTGTCCTCCTGTTCCTCTCATTCTTTCTCCTTGTGTTGTTGCTCTTGTTCATCTACATCCTACTGCTTATCCTCTCCCTCCTTCTCATTCTTACGCTCCTCCTATTCCTCTTCCTCCTGCTCCTGTTGTTCCTCATCCTGTTCCTGCTCATCTTCTTCTTTGTCCTTTCCCTCCTGTTACTGTTCTTCTTGTTTCTTCCTCTTGTTGAGTCCTTGTCCTGCTCATTCTGTTCGTGCTGATCCTCCTCCTGCTCCTCCTTGTCTTCTTTTTCCTCTTCCTTCTCCATTCCATCCTCATCCTTCTCCTGCTTTTCATCTTCCTGTTTCTCAGTTTCCTCATGTCCCTCCTCTTTCTACATTGCCTCTTCTTAATTCTGTTCTCTTTCTCCTTCTTCTGTTCTTCATTCTCTTTCTTCTCTTCTTCTTGTTCCACCTGTTTCTCGGCTTAATCTTCCTTCTGTTTGTTCTCTTTCTCCACTTACTTTGTTCTTTTCCTCTTCTTTGTCTTCCTCCTCCTCTTTCTCCTCTTCTTTCTCCTCTGTTCCTGCTGTTCCTCATCTTGTTATTTCTCCTCCTCCTTTCCTTCATCATCCACCTCTGCCTCATTTTCTACCTGTTCCTCCTCTTAACTTCCTGTTCCTTCTCTTCCTCTTGCATTCCTTCTCCTCCTCCTTTTCCTTTTGTGCCTACTCTTCTCTTTCTGTTCCTACTCCTTGTCCTCCTCTTGATCTTCTCTTGTTTCTGCTGTTTCTCCTTTGCTGCCTCCTTTGCCTCCTTCTCTTCTTCCTCCAACTCCTGATCCTGAACTTTGTCATGTTCACAGAATCATGGAATCACAGAATCACAGATTGTTAGGGATTGGAAGGGATCTCAAAGGATCAACTAGTCCAATTCCCCTGCCAGAGCAGGACCACCTAGATCAGATCACACAAGAACACATCCAGGCGGGTTTTGAACATCTCCAGAAAAGGAGACTCCACAACCTCTCCAGGAAGCCTGTTCCAGTGTTCTGTTAGCCTTACTGGGAAGAAGTTCTTTCTCATGTTTAAGTGGAACCTCCTATGTTCCAGCTTATATCCATTTCCCCTTGTCCTACATTGGATGCCAGTGAGAAGAGCCTGGCTCCATCCTCATGACAGTCACTCTACATATTTATAAACATTAATGAGGTCCCCCCTCAGTCTCCTCTTCTCCAAGCTAAAGAAACCCAGCTCCCTCAGCCTTTCTTCATAAGGGAGATGGTCCACTCTCTTAATCATCTTTGTGGCTCTGCGCTGGACTCTCTCAAGCAGTTCCCTGTCCTTCTTGAACTGAGGGGCCCAGAAGTGGACACAATATTCCAGATGCAGCCTCACCAGGGCAGAGTAGAGGGGGAGGAGAACCTCTCTCGACCTACTAACCACACCCCTTCTAATACAGCCCAGGATGCCATTGGCCTTCTTGACGACAAGAGCACATTGCTGGCTCATGGTCATCCTGCTGTCCACCAGGACCTCCAGGTCCCTTTCCCCTGCGCTGTTCCCCAGCAGTTCAGTCCCCAACTTGTACCGGTACATGGGCTTGTTCTTACCCAGATGCAAGACTCTACACTTGCCCTTATTGTATTTCATTAAATTTCTCCCCACCCAACTCTCCAGCCTGTCCAGGTCTCTCTGAATGGCAGCACAGCCTTCAGGTGTGTCAGCCACTCCTCCCAGTTTAGTGTCATCAGCAAACTTACTGACCATGCACTCTATTCCCTCATCCAAGTCGTCATTGATGAATATGTTGAACTATACTGGTCCTAGTACTGACGCCCTTGAGGGACTCCACTGGATACAGGCCTCCAACTGGACTCTGTCCCATTGACCACTACTCTCTGCCTTCTATCCTTCAGCCAGTTCACAATCTACCTCACTATCTGACCATCCAGACCACACTTCCTCAGTTTAGCTGCGAGGATGTTGTGGGAGACTGTGTCAAATGCTTTACTGAAGTCAAGATTGACCACATGCACTGCTCTACCATCATCCACCCACTGGGTGATGTCTTCATAAAAGGCTGTCAGGTTGGTCAAGCATGACTTCCCCTTAGTGAAGCCATGCTGACTGCCTCTAATGACCCTCTTATCCTTGATATGCCTAGAGACAGCACCAAGGATAAGTTGTTCCATTATCTTTCCCAGGATGGAGGTGAGGCTGACTGGTCTATAGTTACCTGGGTCTTCCTTCTTACCCTTTTTGAAGACCGGAGTGACATTTGCTTCCTCCAGTCCTCAGGCACCCCTCCCGTTCCCCACGATTTAGCAAAGATGATGGCGAGTGGTCTGGCAATGACGTCCACCAGCTCCCTCAGCA